CAGGTGAAGAGATGGACAGCGAACTCCTGCTCAGTCGCTTCACTGCAGGGAGGAAGAGGAAGAGAGAGACGAGGGGCCAGGGCAAACGCTCTTCGTCCCACCACGAGGAGGGTCCTTCCCAGGAGCCGGCTGTAATCGTGGTGGAGGACCGGGATGATGCTACCCTGGAAACGGGTACAGTGACTGGTCATTCCCCCCCACTCTGTGAGGCCAGATGGCGACCTTGCTGGGTCGTCACCGGGTATTGCCTCGGAGCGACCTCCTTCGCCTCCCGCAGTGACCTATGAGGTGGCGACTGGTGGTCGCTCGACGAGACTCTGCATTCCTCCTCTGCCCCAAAGCTTAGGGGACGTGCAACTGGAGACCCTGATCACCTTGCCCGCGGAGGACCAAGCCCGCATCTCGGCCGGTTCTGAGAACGACCTCGATAACATGGTCCTCTTGAGGCTAAGCCAGGTACTTGCGATGATTCTCCCTGCACTCGTTTTTTTTTACGCTCTTGACCCCCATGCCTTAGTACAGGCCACGCTGGGGATGATCGAGGTGGTAGGTAGGAGACGGGGTCGCCAGGCCGCCGCGGACGAGGCGATGAAAGCAGCCGAGGCCAAGCAGAAGGAGCTGCAGGAAGAGGTCGCTCGGCTCACCAGGGAGTTGGAGGAGAAAAAGAATCGCTGCGCGGCGCTTGCTGTGGAGAAAACTTCCCAGGAGAACCGCTGTGCCGCCCTTGAAGCAGACAAGGCCTCCATGTCCTTGGAGTTAGAATCTGTTTCTGCCCGCGTGCTCGAGTTGGAGGGGGAGAAAACTGATCTGATCCAGCAGCTGGAAGTGGAGAGGAGCGACCGGGTCCGCTATGCAGAGGAAGCAGTAGAATCCTTCAAGTCTTCTCCTGACTTCACGGTGGTCGCGATGGAGCGGATGGAAGATCTAACGGCTGCTTGGCTCGAAACTGAACCTGGGGCTCAATGGATGGTCAAGGAGGGCACCAAATCCTTCAATTGTGGACTCTTCCGCGCCCAGCAGGTCTTCCGCGACAAACTGGCTCAGCTCCCCAAAGGATTCACTCTCCCCGACCTCGGCTTTCCCCCTCCTTGCCGCTCCCTGGCCGAGTTCGACCCCCGCCCTTATTTG